CCCCATTGTAAGCAGCAAGGACATACGCTGGCTGACACGGTAGGGAGGAAGACCCCAGCCTTTCTGGCATTACCTGCAGGTAGTTGCTCACCAAGCTGCTCATGCTGGAGCTTCGGCTGGGGGGTCTCCACAGGTAGGCAGAGGAGCCAGCGGCCAGCGTCCTCCTGTGGGGCCACAGAGCAGACAGACCTGGGTCAGAGCAGGAAATACACACGCGCGTACGTGCACCCGGGGGCCTTGGTTATCACAAGGCACCCAGTGGTGGGAGGGGGCAGTGCCCTCCCAGATAGAGCGTAACAAGGCAAAACCCATCAGCTTCTGCCAAAGGGCAGATTTACGTGGGTCTACAGTGGATGCACTCCACTGCTGAGTTTCAATGTAAGGCCTCTCCACCCGCTGCCCAGAAAGAACGAAATGAACATGTCACTTCCCAATTTTTGCTTTAAATTTTCCTTACATCTTTGTTCCTGTCATAGTCTGCTCGTGAGGGAAAAGTGGCAATCAATCTGAGAAATAAAGGTGACATGGTGCTTGGAGGCAGCCCTGCAGTGGTCATAAAAGTACAACTAGCCTAAGTCTGTATCCCTAGGGAAGCAGATAAACTGGTTTAGTTGCGGGGCGCCCAGGTGGTGCAGTCGGTTAAGCGTCCAACTCTTGATCTCGGCTCAGGTCATGATCTCACGGCTGGTGGGTTTAATCCCCGCGTCGGGCTCTGTGCTGACAGTGCAGAGCCTGCTTGGGATTCTCCCCCTCCTCTCTCTCTGCCCCTTCCCCGCTCGTGCACACACTCTCCCTCTCAGAATAAACTTAAAAAATAAATAAATAAATAAATAAATAGACTGGTTTACTTGCACAAGAGAATACTCTATACCATGGCTCAAAGATCTCTTTTTTAGTGAAGGACCAGATAGAACGCATTTCACACTTGCAAGCCTTATGGTCTCCGTCACAACAACTCGACTCTGCCACTGTTGCAGGAGAGCAGCGGCGGACAACACGGAAATGAGTGTGGGAAGCCGTGTGGGCTGCGGCCTGTTGACCCCACTCTACAGCCATAGAACTCCATGTGTCTAAAACCATGCGAAATGAAAAAAAGCAGGTTGAAAAAGGATGGCTGTCTCACGGTTCAGTGTGTGCAAAATTTAGAAATAAATACAAAACAAAACCATACATATATAAGATATCTATGGATACACACACAGTGAAACACAAGAACACTTGGGAATGACCTGCATCAACTACAGGGCTGTGATTACTTCTAGGCAGGAATTGAAGACAAAAGCATGACGGTGGCTGGGGCTTTATTTGGAGCTGGAAGATTTTACTTCCTACAAAGATGGTATCAGACATGACAACAACCAACAAAAAAAAAATACCCCCAAAAAACAAAAACAACCCCAAACCCCCAAAATCCCAGCTTGATGGGGCTCCCACTGGGCAAATACGGAATAATTTAAGTTTCAAAATGAAAGATTACAGTGACAGACTATAACCCACTGAATAAAATAACCCACGAGTCAACACTGCTATCAATCAATCAATACATGAATGAGGAAGAAGGAAAAGATCTTTCTTATAATAGGGTGCTAGCTACTAATGTAGAAGGAGGAATGGAGTCAGAAAAATCACTCTGGCAATCATGACGGACTCAGGCAAGAATTACCAACGGATGCTGAAACTAACAGGTGGCAGATTTAGAAACAAAAAATGGGGTAACAACCTCATCGTAAAATATCTTCCCCTAAGAAACACACCGATTACTTGGGGCGCCTGGGTGGCTCAGTCGGTTAAGCGTCCGACTTCGGCTCAGGTCATGATCTCACAGTTCGAGATTTTGAGCCCCCTGTCAGGCTCTGTCCTGACAGCTCAGAGCCTGGAGCCTGCTTGGGATTCTGTGTCTCCCTCTCTCTCTCCGCCCCTTCCCCCACTCACGCTCTGTCTCTCTCAAAAATAAATAAACATTAAAAAAAATAAAAAAAACACACTGATTACAAAGGGAGATACAGTAACTTTAGGGAGATCTTGGAAACACCAGATGACTTAATAGTCACGGTTAACCACCCTGGTAATGAAACAAATCAACATCGTGTGTCTCCAGACGATATGCTGAGGAGGACACAACATCTGGGGTACTCCCTCTGGAAATACTTACCCTGAACCTCACAATGAGGAATAGCCAAGGCAAACACAAACGAAGGAACATTTTACAAAATAATTGGCTTGTGCTTTTCCAAAATGTCTACACTATCAAAGACAAAGACAGGGAAACTGTTCCAAGTTCAAAGAGATCAGAGAGACCTGGCATGAATTGCAGCATGTGTTTCTGGGCTGGCTTTTGGTTTATAAAAAACATTATTGGGATAATTCCTAAAATCTGGCCTATAAATCAGTAGCATTGTATCAATATTCATTTCCCAATCTTAATAACTACCCTGAGGTTATACATAAGAGGGTGCCCTTGACTTTAGGAAATACACCATGAGGTACCTAGGAATAGAGAGAGGGGAATCGACTCTGTAACTTACTCTCAACTGGCCTAGGAAATACACCAACATGTACCGATAAAGAGAAAGAATGATAGAAACAGTTGTAGTAAAACACTGGTAATTAGGGAAATCGAGGTAACAGCCAGATGAACGCTCTGTGGCATTTCGGGGGCAACTCTGCTGGTAATTATGAATTGATTTCAAAATTAAAAAGTTTTAAAAAGGACATGTGCAGCAAATACGGCAAACAGTTAGCTATTTGATCTGGGAGGTTGGCCCATGGGCATTGTCATGTCCAGTACTTTTCTCTACACAGAAAATACTCCTAATGTAAAATATAAAAATTTACATTAAAAGAAAATCTGTATCAAAAGAAAGCAAAACAAAGAACGCTGGAGTGGAGGTGAGCTCGAGTCTGGCACCTCAGCCCTGCTGGGTGACTTTGGGCAGGTCCCCCTGTCATCTGAGCCTGTCCCCTCCCATCTCCCTCCTGGAGTGGCACGGGAGTGCCACACTGGTAAGAAGTGAAAATCCTGCAGCTTTTCCAGCAACCCGTGCATGGGTGAGCTGTACCTCCCTCTCCTGCGGCCTGCAACTCTGCAAGGACACAACCAGGAAAAAACCTACTGGCTCCCCGCAGGCCGCCCCCGAAGAAACCTCAGGTTTTGCATATGTGTCTCCACTGACTCATTTGACACCTGGCTGATGGGGAGAGTTTCAGGTTGGAGCCTTCTGATGTTATCATCGTTAATCACAGACACGACAACGTCTGTTCCATCAGGAGGGCCTAAGAGAGCTGCCAAACCTTTATTTATGTAATTTACCGAGCGACCCAACTGCTGGCAGGACACTGGGGGCAATCTTGAGAACTTCAAGCATCTCTTTTCCCTGTCTTTTCAACCAAGCGATTCGTCCAAGTACCTGGCAAACGTCGGCCAGGCAGCGTCCAAATCGTAGCCCCTGGATGCCAGGTCAAACTGAACCTCAGTCAGCTCGTAGAGCTGGCCCACGATGTCAGAGCTCAGCTTCGGCTTCAGAAAGGGGCTCCGTGCATAATACCAGTCACTGCAGGGAAGCACAGATAGGGACTGATCGCAAGAGCAATAAAGGGTAAGGAAAGACTGAACCTGATACGGCTCTGCCTTAACAAATTCTAACTCCGGTGACTAATGAGTTAAATTCAGACAGACAGACACACACACACACACACCAACTTGATTTTCTTTCGAATGAGCTTGCTCTTCAGGGAAATTGCTGGAATGAACTAGACGCATATTCACTTACTGTTTACATCCTATCTATTTTCCCAAAAAGGATATGAGAAAACTTAAATCTCAATTATTTGCCCGGAAAGGGACAGCTGTTGGGGAAAGAACTCTTCTTTTTTGAAATGTAACCTCATCTTCTATTCCTTCTAGAGAAATCACCAACAGAACGGTGAGCTCACGGCTAAATTCTGTCCAGACGCCAATGTTAAAGCCAAGAAACAAAATATCCTCACTTGGAGGTGCTGGTTGTTTCGCTTCACGTGGAGCAAGAAGAATTTAAAAAAGGCCACACTGTGGGGCGCCTGGGTGGCTCAGTCGGTTAAGCATCTGACTTCGGCTCGGGTCATGATCTCACAGCTTGTGAGTTCGAGCCCCATCTTGGGCTCTGTGCTGACAGCTCGGAGCCTGGAGCCTGCTTCAGATTCTGTGTCTCCCTCTCCCTCTGCCCCTCCCCCTGCTCACACTTTGTCTGTCTGCCTGTCTGTTTCTTTCTCAATAATAACTAAACATTAAAAAAAAAAAATTTTTTTTTTTTAATTTAAAAAGGCCACACTGAGGGCCGCCTGGGTGGCTTAGCGGGCTAAGCAGTCGAGTCTTGATCTTGGCTCGGGTCATGATCTTGCGGTTTGTGCGCGGGCTGTGCGCTGATGGTGCGGAGCCTGCTTGGGATTCTGTCTTTCCTTCTCTCCGCCTCTCCCCTGCTTGTGCTCTCAATCTATCCCTCTCAAAAATAAACACACGCTAAAAAATTTAAAGTAAATAAATAAAAAGGCCACGCTGATGAGTGCAAAGACGCCTGTGAAATGGGACACATTGGAAGCCAAGCTGCTTGTGACAGTTCTCACCAAACACCTGGAACAAAATAATCTTCAAACCAAACGTGAGAAGATTCTTAACGCACCTGAATTCACAAAGCCCGTCACATGCATGAGACATACATCTTTATGCAAATCAATCTTAAAGACGACAAATGAAACACAGTATTTTCCCCCAATCTTTTTTTTTTTTAATCCACAAGTGATTTCTTTGGTTGAGTGGAAGAACCCTCCCTAGGGAGGGGGGAGGGGGGGGCTGGAAAAGGCTGCTGGGAAATCGGCAGGTTCTGCTGATAGGTGCCGGACCTGTAGCTCCTCTTTCCACACGCCGGTGACACGCTCAGTCCCCTCTCTCCCTCCCCCGCGGCCCAGGCTTCAGCACCAGCGCCACAAAGACCGACCCCCCGGACAACCCGGGCTCTCGACCTGGCCACCTACTTCAACGTCCAGAGAGCCCAGACACAGCCAGCAGGTGTCGACTCGGGGTCTCGGGCGAGGCCCCGGGCCCGGTGGGGTTAAAAATCCCATAGCTGATTCTGCCGAGAGGCCGAGGCTGCGGCCCGGTGGTTCAGGGTGGCCAGCGGGGCCGGTCCGTTCATCAGGGTCAGGCCCCAGGACACGCCAGCCGCGGGGGCAAACGCCCCGGCCTTACGAGCTCAGAGATCCGCATCCGAGCTCCTGCGTCGGGACTCAGCATCTGTGGGGCCCGGAGAAAGGCCCTCGGCCTCTCGGGGCTTCAGGTCCTCACCTGGGACTGGGCGGTGCTGCTGTCGGGCAGGTGGGAGAGGGCCGCGTGGGTGGGAGGGCCGGGGGGCCAGCCCGGCAGGCGCGTCTGCCATGGGCTCGCTGTCCCGAACGAGGGGGCCTCGTCTCGCGGCGTGAAGCCCAGCGCAGCCGTGCGTTTACCTGGTCACTTTGGTGTTCATGAAGCACTGCTGTAAGGTATCCGCCAACCGCTGGTGCACCAGGGAGTAGCGAACGAACGCCCTTCCTCTTCCCAGAGACGTCCGGAGCTGGAAGCGAGGAGAGCACGTGGCCACGAGGAGCCGGGCGCCTGACCCCCAGTCGCCCGGAGGGCGAGGCCTGAAGCAGCCAGGCCCCTCGGCGTCCTCCAGGGGAGAAGGACCCGCAGACTCCGGGGAGCACGGCAAGGAAGACGCGCTCACGGGAGGCTCTGGGACATCGCTTTCAGGACGCGTGCGTCATTCTCCCGCCCCGGCCCCACCCGGAGCTCTGGGGTTTGGCGTCAGGTGGGACACCGTGGGAGCTCACTGGGGGCACTTAGGAGAAAATGTGGCAGGTAGAGGAGGGGCCCCTCACACCAAGATGAAGCGAGCTCGAGGAAGGGGCCATCTCGGTTTGCCTCACGTCCGGCTTAGCTTTGAGGTGCAGGGGAAGAGGCCAGAAGGCCGGCTGGAGCCCCCGCGGGAGGGGAAGAGAGAGGAGGGGAAAGGCAGGGGTGCGTAGGGGGGACTTATAAGAAGTTCGGATGGATGTGTGATGGCCCACTCGGCGTTCTCACGAAACCATCAGTAAAATCGGGACGTGTCGACGCCGTCCCGGTCGGATTTAAGATGGGCCAGCTCTGCACTTGGTCAGAAGGTACCCAGGGGGTAAGAGAGAGCTGGGCTCTCTCGAGGCAGCCCGGTCACACTGGGGTAACAAAGAAAAGCATCGCGTGTGGCTCCGTTTCAGGAAGTCTGAAACAGACAGCACGGAAGGGTCCAGCTGCGGGCCCGCCTTGGAAACCTCACCCCACAGTGCCCGAACGTGGCTTCTCGAGAGGTTTCCGGAAGCTTATTGGGAGGGAGGTGGGTGTGCCGGCCAGAGACTCTGCTGTGAGGCGGCCAAAGCAGGGCTCTGCCAGTTGTGGGCACAGGCGGCCGGTTTGTGTAACGGGATTCATTCCCGATGTTTCGCCCCCAGCAGCTCCACGTGAGCGGGAAGGAATTCAGGGCCCCCTCAAGCTGCCATGTGTACCCTGCCCTGACAGGCTCGGGGGTCTGAGTGGGGTAAGTAGAGACCCCATACCCTCCTCACCCCGTCAGAGGTGAGAAATGTTTAGCCTGGCGGCGGGGGACAGGGGCAGCCCCGTTCCAACCAAAAGACGGTCCTGACACCCCACGCCATCAGGACGCCAATCGTGGCACGGGCTTGAGACAGGAAATCTGTGGTACAGCCTCAAGTACGGCCTTTTCGAATCGATGAGGTAAACATTCCAGTACGCAGCACCCCTGCAGCTCAGAGCTGGGGGTTTTTGGATTGCTGACTCAAGAAAACGATACCACAATATGAAGTAGCCTTAAAAAAATAAAAAGGTGTGAAGCGTCAAGAACAGGAGAGGCTGTGAGCCTCTTATTTTAAGAGAGAGACAGGGGGAGAGAGAGAGAGAGCTAGTGGGGGAGGAGCAGAGAGAGAGGGAAGACACAGAATCCGAAGCAGGCTCCAGGCTCCGAGCTGTCAGCACAGAGCCCGATGGGGGCCTCGAACCCACGAACCGTGAGATCATGACCTGAGCCGAAGTCGGATGCTTAACCGACTGAGCCACCCAGGCGCCCCCCAAATTGATTATATAGGTTACATATATGTGGAGTGATTTATTTAAAGAGGTATCTTGCAACATCCTTTGTACTCTGAGTGAAAACAGTGCACAGCTTTTTTATTTTTTAGTGTTCTGAGGTCATGGGTTCATTTTCCTTACCTAACTCCTTAAATGCTTAGCACCTAGTCCAAACTTCGCTGCACTGTATCGAGAAGGTCTACCACAGCTGGAGAGGGCAGGAAGTCCGCAAGGGACTCCAGAGCAGATTCGGTTTCCCGCCAGGCCACTGTGCTGACAGCCCAATGGCGCGCTGCACCCCGGAAGGGAGCCTGTCCATCTCGGGGAAAGACGCGTAGGCCAGGTTGAGCTTATTCGGAACCCCTGGAAGTGGCTGATTACAGCCTTGGAAGAGTTTAGCCTAAAGGGCTGATTCCCACCCCGAGGGGGCCTGAGGTGGGCCCAGCTATGCTCCTTACCCATTAACTTTTACCTTCTGGCTTGTCGGCTTTGGGCAACACTCCATCGGTACAGTTAACCCGAGCACCCGGCAGCCCTGTGGCCTGGTGCCATTCCCGGGAATCCCCACCAAGGGTGCCTGCGGGGAGCCCGGTCTACACAGCCTCCAGGAAACCGACAATGTCCGTACAAGCAGGGAACGCTTTTTTGCTTGAGAAGTCAGCTTCCCTGGCCTTGGATCATCTAAAGGTCTGTGTGCTATGCAAGAGGTAGATTTCAGCATTTTGTAACCCTGGGCCGTGAGGACTAAGCTAAACTTATTTGCAGACTTCAGCTGTCTGAAGCCGTAAAGTCAAAGGCCTCCGGTGCTCTGAGGAGTGGAAGACCGGACAGCGACACTGAGAACTTCTTCCAGACTTTCGGAGAGAAGGCAATGAGACCCTCTCTGGTGGGTGATGCATTAAAATGCTCAAGACCGTGGCGCTGCATGGACGTTATGGAAATCCAAGGAACAGACGCCTGACAGCCAAGGTCTTTCCTCCTTTTCTCAGATGTCAGAGGGTGGAAAACGCTCGACCCTCAGTGTCAACGTATCTAACGCTGTCATTCTCTGTAAGAAGAAACCCCTCGGGCTCCAGCTGGCAGGCGGCGGGAAGGGATCTCAGAGCACCCTCTGAGGGCTACCTCAGAGCCCCTGGGAGGGCCATCAGGGGGCACAGCTGCCGGCTTTACCGGGATTTGAACTGTACTAACGAGGCACTGAAAAGGAAGCGGAAAGGTAGAAACCCTTTAGGCCTCCCGCCCCACATCTAGGGGTTTAGTTGCTCCTGAATCTGCAAAATTCTTCACTCCCAGAGGGACTAGGCTGAAGACAGAGAGAGAGGGAGAGACAGGGGAGAGAGGGGGACGGAGAGAGAGGGGGGAAGAGAGAGTGAGGAATAGAGAAAGG